TCTGTATGTGGGATCCGAACCCTCGGCGGGAGCGCCGCCACGCTCCCAAGCAGCGCACTATCCATTACGCCACCGGGCCGGCCCATTTTTTGGAATTTAAATGCAGTGTTAGGGCATTTTCTTTTACAAGACATCACAAGACCTACAGGACCTGCCGAGAAAATGTACTTGAGATGCACACTCTCAGTAGGAACATGAAAGTGAAGAGAAGTTTGATAAGCCTAGAAAATAAACAAAAAAGGGTTAGGCTCCTTCCAATGTGACCTCTTTCCTCAATGTGCGACTTTCTTTGTGCTGTGGTACAAAGTTTGAAAGTTTAGGCAGATGCTTGTGACTGGGATGATTGAGTTAAAGTGAGAAAAACTTCAGTTTAATCTGTACTGAGGGCAAGATACAAGAAAAGACTACCCTGGACAGAGCTCAGAGGGAAAAATCTGTGGAACAGCAACTGTTGTAGCCCAGTTTCTAGTGGATATAAGGTTGGGGACATAAATTTGACAGGGAGAATCACATGTCTTCCATTCACCTATTCACAAACATGCATTTTACAGACACAATCCTATTTAATACTCTAATCCCTGTTTTATAGATGAGAAAATTCAGGCTTGGAGAGGTTGGTGGCTTACAAAGATTATACAACAAGTAAGGTCTGGAGCTGAAATCAAACCAACACTCCAGGGTCCACATTCCCACCCACTGTTCCAGTTTTATAAAAATTTCTACCTTTTGCACATTGCTTTCCATATTCCATACTGGATAAATAGTATAAATAACATCTATGCTGTTATTTATGGTTATGCTTTTTCATTAAATTAGGTCCCTATTACTTTCAAATAAAGTTATTTTAAGGGAATGTTATGCTTCTACCATAAATTGAAGACGAATAACCTTCTTTTAGAAAAAGGTACACAATAAAACAATTTAATCACTAAGTCAAGGGCTGATCATCAGTGAACTTAACATCTTCTTGAATGCCATAATGGTATATGAGCCACACTTCAGGGACATGCTGGGACTCCATACTGCTTCTTTATGACCTGTACACCAATTCTTTCTCCACCACCCAGCACATTTTTTTAATAAACAAGTGCACACAAAGCATTGGATTAAGTGTGATGGAGGACATAATGATGTGTCCCACTTTTAAGGAACTGACCCTCTTGCAATTGTGTTCATTGTAATGGGAATTTACCTGTACAGGTACATGCCCTTATTTTATACAATAAAATAGAAAAAAATACTTAAAGAAATATGATCACATTGCTGATGTTCTTCTGGTTTTCTTTAACTCTCTTTAGCTCTGGAGAATCAGAAATGTCTATTGCATGTTTAATTTCTTCTTTGTATTTTACCTGCATAATTTATAAGAATATAATGTTAATTTTATTCAACACAAGGCTTAAAAAATGGTTAAGAATTCTTAATTTGTAACTATTGCATAATTAATTTTTTTTTAATGACAACATTACTTTTCCTTCAATGGGAACACAATTTTTTAAAAATTTTATCTGATGCTTTTGGGATTCCTTTATCCTAAAGTGAAAATAAATCCACATCTACTCACCTCTCCACCACTATAGGAGTTTTTTAATTAAAATAAGCAAAAGTTGCTTATGAAAATAAATTTTATCCTTAGGCAGATGCAAAGAAAGCCTTGGAGATTATCTTTAATAATATAATAGTTTATTATTTGCTACCTGAGTAGTTTCTATCTATTAATATGTTAATTAAAACTTAACATATACGAGTATTTAAAGGCAAATTGAGTTGGTCTTTGAGTCTTGGGAACACTGCTTGTCTGACTGAAAGCACACAAATCATCCATAATAAGGAAAAAGAAAGTGACCACAATAAAAGATGAGAAAAAGGGAGGGGGAGGGAAATGTACTAAAAGCTTAAACCGCTGTGTCCTGATCACTGTAAGAAAGGTCATTGTCAGAAAGTCAGGAAATGTCTTTGACCTGCACAATCACATTATGTAGGGAAATGTACTAAAAGCTTAAACCGCTGTGTCCTGATCTCTGTAAGAAAGGTCATTGTCAGAAAGTCAGGAAATGTCTTTGACCTGCACAATCACATTATGAAAAGCCCACCTACATTCTGGCATCCACTTCCTTCAAAAGCTCCCTCTTCAAATTTATTTTGAGGAGGATCAACCAGACAAAATATAATACCAGCACGTGGTTATGCATGGGACAAGAAACAGCTCCTCAAATCTGTGCAATGATTAGTAATGCCATTATTTCTGGTGGTATTTTAATATGTCTAAAATTCATAAAAGATTGCATTTGAGAAAAAATACACACATACATATAAATATATGGAAGCACAGGCTAGACTGAAGAGGCATATGCTGAAATTTAACAAAGACTTAAATCTACACAAAACATGTTTCAGAAATCACTTTCTAAAACTTTTAAATGACTAAGGCTGAAATCCACACTGACTGTCATAAAGAAACAGTATCTAAATACCTCGGATATCATCTAAGTCTCAGTAACCATGGATTTGATATGAGTAACAATGCCAGTATGAGTCCAGACCCAAAACAGTTAAACTGAAAGTTCACCAAGACAAGCTACCTCTAAATAAAATTCAAAAACAGTTCTTATCACAGAGAGCTAATAGCAAAAAGGCTTGTACTCTGGAAGTGGAAAATGTCGAGATCTTTAAACGTTAGCGAATCATATCTTGGTTTGACAGATCTAGCGAATCTTGAAAGGGCAACTTTCCATTTGAATACTAAGCAGGAGTTTATGGCCCAAACTCACAAAGATACAAAACTACGCGTTTATTGTTTGCTAGAAGAGGCTGTGGGATGCTGGGAGAAGCAGCAATATACTGTACTGCTTTGTGTGATTTTCCTCGGGTGAGAAGCTAAACGTGATTAAAGATGAACATTTTTGTTTTTCATACAACTCTAAACTAATCACAATGTTATAGTCGTTTCACTGTAGGCTATAGAATTGCACACTACAGAACATTTATAACATTATATTACAGTACATTGATGAGTGCATTTCAAATAGTATCATTTGAAAGTGAAGGAAACGAACATTTTATACTTCACTCCCAATCTAATTTCTCTAACAGACTAGAGAGCTGCCTGATGTGGGCTCTCGCCACGGTGGATCAGAACCACATATTCGTATATTCTCATCCGCACCCCGAGCCTAGGTCCTTCTTACACTCACTCTGGGAGGTGGTTTCACTCATGCTGCAGAGATCTCATTGCTCCAGTATTCTGCAGATATTCTGTAATTTCATTTTGAGGTATGTTTTCCTGCAGCATTACCTTGCCTCTCCTACTCTTTCCCCACAAATGCCAGCACATGCTCATAGGCTCATAGTCAGCCACAGATGAGTCTAATCAAAGCAGTTCTACTTTGATTACTTGAAGAAAAATTCTGGAAGTGACTGCCTCCAAGGATGAAGGTGGAGAAATAAGTCAGGAAAGGGGAATGAAGGGAAGAGTCCTTTTTACTTCCTCAACAAGAAATTAAACAGTCGACCCTCCGTATCTGTAGGTTTCACATCTGTGTATTCAACCAACTTTGGATCAAAAATATTCAGGAAAATAAAATTCCACAATGTTACAAAAAGCATAATTTGAATTTGCCATGTGACGAGTACTAACTTGAATCCATGCAAATGAAGAGATGTGTAGGCATTGGTATTATAAGTAATCTTATAAGAAATCTATTAGGTATTATGAGTAATCTAGAGATGATTTAAAGTATATGGAAGATGTACATAGGTTATATGCAAATATTATGTCATTTTATATCAGGGTCTTGAGCATCCACAGATTTTGGTGTCCATGAGGGAGGTTCTGGAACCAATCCCCCACAGATACCAAGGGACAACTGTACACTAAATGTATGTTGGTAAGGACAACAGTTATCCATTGTAAATGTCAAGCACTAAATGGAAAAAATTTTAACCCATAACGTTAAGCACCTCCTCTACCTTGCCCAGTCCAAACGTAATTGGAGGGTAAGTTATTTTACAATTTATAGTGATGGTGTGTGCTTTTGTTTCCCAGAAGTAGAAGGTAATGGGGCTAGAAACCAGAAATATAGACAGAAATGTATCTGAAAGAAAATACAGAAATGTGACTGACATGGGGTAAAAATGAACTGGGTATTTTATTTTTAAAATCTAAACCTTCAGGGCTGGCTGGTTAGCTCAGCTGGATAGAGCGTGGTGCTAATAACACCAAGGTCCCGGGTTCGATCCCTGTACCAGCCAGCCATCAAGTAAAATAAAATAAAATAAAAACCTTCAGTTAAGCCACCAAATAAATGTTCTGGGACCTTTAATCATCCTATCAGGGTAAAATTTCTTTCCTCCAAGTTGTGGAAAATGTATTCTTTCTCTGCAAATGTATCCTTCCTCTGCAAAATTGAATACAGTTACAATTCTTTTTAAAAAGATGAAATCTACTCTGAGATTTCATTAAAGTGATCTTTCTCCTCTTCACAATGATATATCAAAATGAAACACTGCTTTAGATTCAAGGGGAACAAGGCTACAGTTTTCATTCTGAAAGTTAGATCTTTGATATTTGACAAATAGCATTTTAATAATGTGGAGAATAAAAGAAAAAAGCAGCCAGTTGAGTAAAGAATGAAAAACACTTATCTAGCTTCTGTTTCCTTTTGGAAAGGATAATTAATGCTGTAGAGAACTTACTGAACTAATGTTCTGCTGATTTTTCTTCACTCGTTCAATCTCTGGAGTATTTTTTATTGCTGTGCCAGCTCCTACTTCTTTCTTATAAAATACCTTTATTATAAGAGAAGGAAAAGAATAAATATAAGCTTATTCGAATTCAAGTCTTAGATTTGATTCTCATACAGGAAAGACTATTTCTCAGGGTTTATAGAAATGTGAATACAGCCTCTATTCATAAGTATCAACATTATATGAATCAATTAAATAATCCATTATGATAATAAATGCCCAACTGTGGTTTCCCATCTCATAATCTTACAAGTAACCCTCTAATATCTGTTCTAGGGCATGACTGGTACCTTAGCTGGCTGCAGATTGTTTGCTTTAAAGAACAAAAATTGGCAAACTAGAGTTCCCTTCTTCAAATACAAATATATGCCACAAGTATATCTGAGAATGGTACCTTAGCTGGCTGCAGATTGTTTGCTTTAAAGAACATAAATTGGCAAACTAGAGTTCCCTTCTTCAAATACAAATATATGCCACAAGTATATCTGAGAAAAATCAAAGCACATATTCCAAAAACTCACTAAGCAGTTATCATGTAATTCAAAAACAGCATGAAATTTTAGCAACTGTCATTCTCTAAATGCAAAGATTCCCTCCTTCTCTTCGAAGAAAATATTAGCCGTATCATCCACATCCACATTCACTCAAAATCTATTTCCCTCATCCTCCACTTGTTTGTCAGCCTTCCCACACATTTCTCCACTCTACCAACATCTACCGCTTCCAAACACAAAGCAAAACAAAAAACAAAGCACTCTACAGAAAAACATAGCAACGACGAGAACGGCAGATGAGGGCAGAA